TCCATGGAAACTTTCCAAGTGCAGACCCTAAATTATCTCATGTAGCCTGGGCTGTTTATTTGAGACAAACCTCACATGAATCCACCACACTGCCATTTAGGAATGCAGAGGAAAGAGAAGCAATCATAGCATGTGCCCATCTAGACACATTATACAATTCATACGCAGTGCAATCATGAAAAGGGGTTTATTAAGTCTCAGGCACTGACGTTGATGAGACTCAAACCTAATTTTCTAGAGGACAGCACAATTCTCATTGATTTGGGGAGATGTATTCCCATTGTCTTCTTTTGAGGACTAGCTCTCCCAGAGTCCATGCAAAAACAATCTCAAAACATCAAAACACCAGTGAGAATAGTAGGAGCTCGCTTTTCTTTCTTAAAAGCACTAAAATGACCTTACCACCAAAAGGACATATTTTGACATGATAAGAAGTAACATAGCATGGCCCTACCATAAGGTGCTAAATAATCAGAAATGTATAAAAGGATTCCATTATGTGCATGAAATGATTTACCTCTACTCAAATGGAGAAATTTGGCATTTCATATACATTAAAATGAAATCTCCTTGAGAAACTATCGAGTTAACTTTACATGGTGTATCCATCAAAGCAATTTCACCACTTTTCAGCGTCACTTTTCAGATATGTTTGTATCTGTATTTGTTTATGTCTTTCCCTCTAAAAAATGGTTGCCAAATATTTATCGAGTGTTTCATTGCAAAATACTTTTCACATATGGAAAGATATATAAGAAAAGACACCTGTCCTCAAGGAATTCACAGCCTTGTAGGGAAGAAAAGACACATAAAAACTCCCACTATGATATATAATATCATTTGTAAAAAGTACAATAAGAACAGAGAAGGACAGAATCTACCTTGAGGAAATCTGGGAAGGCTTTCAAGAGAGATGGGAGATTATATGTGTGTGACTCTGAACTATACTGTATAACTAGTCATTAGGTATTACTGTAGATGAACAAAATAACAGTGTACATAAAATCAGAGGGTTACAGTAGGCAGGGATCTCAGAGAGCATTCATCCAAACCCTTCTTTCTCAGTTAAGAATACTTAGGTCCAGAGAAGTCAAGTAAGTAGCTCAAGGGCACACAGATCTTCTAACTGACCTGATAATAGAATCCATGTATTCTACCATATTCTAGGGCCCCTGCTACACAATCCATCAATGCTTTACTTCTTTTATGTGTACACAGGTAACTCAATTCAGCACAGGTGACTCGGCAGAGGTGACCTCAGAGTTTCACTAAGACTGAGCTCAATATATGCAATCCCTTTTAAATACGGAGAGCTTGTCTATGATTCAAGCTGGAATAAAAGAGGACTAAGAAGTGAGCTGCATTCATGGCATAGCCTGCATCCTTATGCAATAATGACTGACTAGTTAAAAGTTGATGATATATCAAGGGGACACAATAACTGGATTGAGATCCCTACCACTACTCCTGCCACAATGAAAATGAAGTTAAAAATATATAGCTAGATAAAGAAAAGATCCCTAATTTCACGGTACAGTAGATGTTAGAACAAGAAATGAACTTATACCTACGAGGTCAATCTCATCTTAGAGTCAGGGAATATTAATTTGCTGATATGCTTTATACTGGAGAGTTTAAAGGAAAATTGGCATAAATAGTGCTACAAAACTTCAACCTCTTATGAGGCTGAGCAAGAACAGTCAAAAGGAAACTGTTTTAGTCACCATATTTTATTACACAAAGAGCTGAATCAGAAAATTGAAATATTAATAAAATATTTCCTACATGGACTTTGCTGATGAAATAGCTTCAGGCTTTTATGAAGATCTGATATGTTACACTCACCTTTAAGGGCAGTGAGTCCCGTTTTGTAATTACTAATAGGGATGGTTTAATTACACCCATAAGTCCCAAGATATTGCTGCAATACACAGACTTTGGACTGAAGTACCTATTCTCTACCAGATTCCTAGATTATCTGGAGCCTGACATGCAAATCCCATCAGTTTTGATTCAGATACTTCTAAGAAGGCACTTAGGCAATATATCTTTTGCCTTATTCATAAAGAAAAATAATCACAATAGACGCATCGATTTACTTAACCTTGTTAACTCTCTGGGGTATAGTTAGCTACTTTCTAGAGAGGAGGAATTAGCTGTGAGCATACTGTCACAAACACAGACAAAGCAAGACCAGACAGAATCCAAACATCCCAATGCTTTCATAATTGGAAGACACATCTCGGGACCCTGCTCTGGATAAGGGAATGGTCCCATTAAATGACAGAAGTCTGCTATGTAAACTGATAGCAATTCACAGGACAGAAAATCTTTCCCCTCCTCCTAAGAATTGGGGGAACTAAAAATGCTTCAAAGATACAGTGAGTAGCACAGTGAGCAGCAATTGTGTAGCACCTGTCTGCCTGCCAAACATGCATTTCCCACTTTAATTTTCATTTTGGGTATCATCTTCTTATCCCAGTTTTAGTCCATGTAGTCTGGTGGGGCTAACCTCACCCTGTGGCCCTATAGATGGCCAATGGGCAGGCAATCTATCTCCCTAACCTTGACCACAGTGACTGACTCAGGAATGAGAACAAGTCCACTGAGAGCCAGCCCTATGCCTGTGGATCTATTAGGGAAAATGTCCTCTCTCCCTGTGCCAGGTTGCTGAGCTAGTAGGATGTAATCTTGTCTTGTTTGTGGTCATCTTTGCCACTGTTTTGGGAGAGCTTTCTAACAAAGCCAATACAGAAGAAGTAAAGCTGGCGGGTGGAAACAAGGCTAGCTGAGCTGTAACCATGCCTACAGCCAGACCACACCTTGACTTGGTTATATGAGCCAAGAAATTTCCTTTTAGACAGAAGTCATACTAAGCTAGATTCTTGTCATTGACAACTTAAGAGTCCTACATAATCAACATTTTAAATTCAGATTTCTAACCTCCCAGAGTAGCAGGCATGTGAGACATCCTGTACCAATCCTCCATCAAAATAAAAAGAATGTACATGTAGAAAGGGAAATTATAATATCTTGAAATTGTATACCATATAGTGAAAGAAAAGGCAAGAAAACAAAGCTGAATGTTCTATGGATATGTCTACATAAAAAACAAAATCCTACCCTAAGTCCACTCTATTCCTTGAACCAGAACAGTATAAGCCCATGTTGTCCAATATGGTAGCTGCTAGCTACATGGGGCTATTTGAACTAAAATTAAATCATGTTAATTTTTTTAAAGTTCAGTTTATCAGTCACACTAACTACATTCCAAATGCTCAATAGCCAGGCGTGGCTAGTGGCTGCTATATTGGACAGTGCAGATATAGATCATTTCCATCATCATCAAAAGTTTCAATGGAGATTGCTGGCAGTAATTCTTTCCATTCCAAATGTGGGATGTAGTCACTATACTAACTAGAAGATTAAGCTGTCCCAAAAGATTAATAAAGATATTCATCAAAGAATTGTTTATAATACAAAAAAATGAGCAACAATTTAAATATATGAGAGAAAGAATTAAATGATACAGTCATATAAAGAAATATTATATAACTGTTAAAAAGAACATTTAGAGAATATTTTTGTAGAGACAGGAGAACAATGTGAGGGGTATTTTTTACAAAAGAAAAAAAATAGTGTATTGACAATATGAACTCGAGTAAAATGTTTATAGCAAAAGGAATAAAAAAATAATAACGGCTAATTTTTTTAAATGTTTCCTTTGTGCCATGTGCTAACTGCTTAATATGCGTAATCTGATTTAAAAATCAAAATATAAAATAAAATAGATAATATCTTTATTTTGACTTCACAGATGAAAAAAATAAGACTTGCCAAGGTTAAATAAATGGAGGAGCCTAAAGTGAAGCCCATATTGGTCTGACTTCGAATGCTAACCTCTTTATCTCTGCAACTCTAAACATTGACAGTGATTGCCCCTGAGCAGAAATATTATAAGTGACTTTTTTCCTTTATACTTTTATTTTCCAAATTCAACAAACAAAAGATTATTTCTTAAGAAAATAATTCTAACAGAAAAATTCATTAAATTTAACTATAACCACTGTATGGTTTAAAAAGACAACTGCCATATGCAACGGATCTTTGCTGAAAAGGGTTAATTATGAACACTAGGGGCTTGCATACTCTGCTGAAGCTTCTGTTCAAATTTAATTTCTCGAAGTATATTGCTAGACGCTAATGAAAACCCAAAGAGACACACACATTCAGGAGATGTAGAGCCAATGAATTTTCTGTTGTCTTTATAGTGAACAACTTTTTTATATCCTAACATTTTTTATGCTAGCTATGAAAAAGATAAATAAATATTTATGACATTCACTCAATTCCACGATAACTACTAAGTTGCTCATGTTCTTACTCTGGTTTGAAATGTGCATATTTTAGTGGCTGGGAGTCTCAACCCTAAACGAGGAAGCCACAGAACACTGTCATCTACAGACCCTAAAACTACTCATTTGATTCACTACAGAGATTCGCCTTGGTCGCAGTACATAACAAGCTTTATTAAGGCAGCTGTCGACTTAGATACAAACCTTGGTGCCGCCTAGCAAACTGCTAAGAACACACCAGAACTGCCATGGACACTGGTTTTACTGTAGTTTTACCCCTCATCAGAAGCGTTTGATCAAGAACAACAAAGTAATTGAAGAAACACACAGACATTAATGAGGACCAATTTCTACCATTCTACTGTCTTGTGGAAATTTTCCTTTACCAAAAATGGCCCAATTTACTCCTTGATATATTAACTAAACTTCCACTTGAGGGAGATTTATGTAGTCATAATGTACTAATTATAAATAGGCCAGAATTCACCAATGGGTGGTTCATGAGGTAAAAACAGCCCACCGGCCAATTTTCTTTGGCCTACAAATGTTTTTTGTCTGTTTTAACTGATTTAATGCCACATTTTTAAACAGAGGACTTTCACATTAAACAAAATAATAAGATTTCTAGGTTTTTATTTTTTTTCACGCCTACAGCACCTGGTCTTCCTAGGTGGTCCCCCATTCGAGTACTAACCAGGCCCGACCCTGCTTAGCTTCCAAGATCAGATGGGATCAGGAGTGTTCAAGGTAGTATGGCCGTAGATCTAGCTTTTTTTTGAAAAAACTTAAGACCTGGCTACTTTAGTCTAGCAGTCCCTTACTGCAACCATTGGTCAGAGCTGAGTAGTGGTTTACTCAGTACTCCCCAACCAGTCCCCCAGACCGTTCCACTCACCAATGTCAACTGCATGGCCCTTGTAGGCACCTGAGCTTGCAGTTCTTATAATAGAAGACACATGAAAAACCATTAAAATATACCACACCTGACACACACACATTCTCATTTCGCCTAAATAATTAAAACCATATTTTTCCTTAGACTGCTCTTTGACCCCAGGAGAGAGTTGAAGGAATTGCAAAAGTGACACAAAGAAAAGGCTATTTCACCCAACCACGATCTCAGGACTAACATTTGGTGACAAGGTGCTCCATGAACTGGCCCTGCATACCTCCTCGGCCTCACTTTCCCTGGCTCCTACTACCCCACCACTTAATAATCCATTTATAGCAACTTACTTAGGGCTCCCCATACACTGGAGTGCCCATCTATTGTGGTCCCCTGACGTGCCTCTGTCATACCTTGATTTTGTGTCTTACGCAGTAGACTGTACACAGTATATGATCAACTATAGCTCCTGTCACGCTCACCCTGTGAGCCCAGCACAGTACCCAGAACATATTTATTGCACAAAAGATTCACCAGCAAATTCTATTTCACCTTCGAAAAATTCAACTTAGATGCTGGCCTTTCCCACCCTTAGCAAAATTCATCCTTCTGTCTTATTTTTTACCTCAGCTAATATTTTTTTGGTCATACTGAGCCATCAGATTTCTATCTGTTTATTTGTGCTTCTCAGACAATCCCGGATCTTAAGGAGAGAGCCTGTGTCTTTTTTATGGCTATATCCATGAAGCCCACCATTGTGTCAGTATCCTGCAGGGGCTCAATAAATACTGAGTGAATGGATAAAGTGATAGAGCACAAAGTCCTCTCCCATAAATCAGTCCTTGTAATGGACACAGAAGTACCATTATCCTCCTCATCATTATCACCATCATCCTCATCATCACTATCATCATTGCCGCCAGCACCACCGTCTCCATGTGACAGATAGCAGAAACCCAGTGCACGCGGCTTTATGACAAGGAGCCAGGGGCCTCATGCCTGCCTCTGTGTATAACGTAGCTGAAGTGCAGCCAAGGGGATGGAGAGGCTCAGCATCCTGACCACCACGATTATTCTACAAGTGGCCACCTACTCTTTCACACCCTTGCAATTTAAAAATAAAATCAAACAACTGCTTGTTTAGATCATGTCCACCACAAAGTCGCCATCATGTCGGCAATCTGTAGTGCACCTAGGAGGTAGCTAGCTGAATAATTTATGCATAATTCAATTCTAGTGGTGGCATGCCTGATATCTTCACCTACAGAACATATCTCATATCTTCTTTCTCTGGAGTTTTCTATAAGTTATGGATTAATAAACTTTCCCTAAGAATGCAGTTTTATTAATCTTGCAAAACATTCAGAAAAAGAAAATATTTTATTATTCACATCTAAAGTGAATTATGATAAACCAATCCCAAGTGCTGAGAAGAAATAAAGTTGCTTTTTGCAGCAAACTGTGTCTATGGTGGTAGCTGTTTCCTGTCCAGTCAGATTTGGAGTAAACAAAATATCAAATTGTATCATGACCTGTGAAGACAATAGGGGCCACCAAGGTCACAGTAAACCATGACCCAACTTCAGAAGGAAGAAAGAGAAAATTAGCACACGGTGGCATTAGTTCAAGATCATCCTCTCAAAGCTGAAAAAAAAATGACACAAAAAGCGAGGTCTGTCATTATTCAACTCTTGACTTCTCTTTATTTCAAGGAAAGTAGCTTTGTGCCTGTGCAATCTAGTGCACTTGTCTGAAGGTGGAGGAAGGGGGCGGCGGGTGAGGAAGAAAGGATTTGTGCCATGTCAATGTGCACTGGGCACAGTTTTAACTGTGTTGCAGGTGTTACTTCTTTAGATTTATAAAACGACCCCATTAGAATTCATTTTTCTACCTGAGGCTCCTAGAGTTAAGAGTCCTGCCCATGGCCACATAGCTAATTATTGGCCAAGCTTGGTTTGACCATCTGTAAAATGGGAACAGTAATGCCCATCTTATCTGTCTGATAGGACTGTTCTGAAGATCAAAGGAGAAAATATCGGAATATCTATACGTACATGCACAAAATGCTACACAAATATAAGACTGCTGCAGCTAGTGTACATTTACCTATATATTCACCTGCTGGCTTCCTTTATTCCATATAAATGAGGAGTGTTTAAATGTTTGCACATAACTAAAGAATCAAACCTAAAATGTCATCTACTGCAAAGGAGAAATAATTGGTTCCAGCTCCTCTATGAACCCCTCGGTGCCCCTGTGAAATGTGTGCCAGGCCTCCGACCCAATCAAAGTTTCCTGATCCACAGAATGAGGGGCCTCTCCCGCCAGGCAACAGGGGCCAATCCAGCCTGGCATTTCATGACTGCAAAGAGGCTATGGTATTTACCATATAAGCGTTGCCTTAGAACTCCATGTTTATAGGGCCACGTTTCCATTGCTTTCCCTCTGTCATGTTAGAACAGAGGTTCACAATCACTTATTCAAATATCCTGGTCTCATGTGTTAAGAATACAGATTTTGCTTTGCATTTTAGAAAGGCAGCATGTCCTATGACATACACTTAACTTTCATTTACAGTATCCCTTCCCAGGGTTTGAGGTGGCACCCTGCAATCATTAATGCTTCTCAAAATTCATTAATGCTTCTCAAGCCATATGTATGACTATTCATATTCAGAGAGATCAATAAAGATTATAAGTAGCCTCAGGTCAGGTCAGGATTTCCCGCCTTTTTAAACTGAGTTTTCAGAGCCTTTTAGATTTTGGGATTGCAGAAAAGAGACTGTATGGTCCTACTGTTAATATCCTTCTTAACAGGGCACCTGAAACTAGAACATCTCACCCTGGCAAGATATTCAACTGCCAGCAGAGTCACTCTCAACTTTCAGCAAAAGAGGTGGAGTGGGGTTGGGGCCGGGGGAGGAGAGAAAAGGGATTAACGTTTCACTTCACTGTTTTCTTCTTCTGGCTCTGCAATATTAACAAGCTCTTCTGTAAGAGATTTATTCTCCTGGCATATGAACCAGTCCTTGGCCTCTGGGCTCCTTCCTCTGCTCTGTTGAGTGTGGCAGAAGCCTGGTTCCAACTACATTTCCCAGGCTCCCTGGCCAGTGACTTCCAGTTAGATTTGCTTAATGGGAACAAATGGGAAAGTCAGGCAGGAGACAGGAAAGAAGGGAGACAAGCTAGGCCCTCTCCCTCCCTTTCTCCCTCTTTCTGCTTCAAGGTGACATCCCCAGAACTGGCCGAGTCTTCTCCACAGTTCCAGACCATCCCTTTGTGGTACCTGCTCCCACCACGCAGCTTCTGCTATGCTTCCAGCAGCCCTGACTCCTGGCTCTGATAAGACCATATCTTCCCTTAGTGCCTGCAGACTTAGAAACAGGTGCGCTAGTCTTGGTCCTTTGCTTCACTGTCACTTTTAGCTCTTCCAACACCTCGTAACTAGTTTCTTGTATTAAATTCCTGGTACGTGTCTCTTGACTATACTCTCACTGATACAGTATATATCATTAAAATTATACTCTCACTGATACAGTGTATATTATTAAAATTATCCATTTCTGCTTGGGAGTCAAATGCAGATTTGGGTGTGTGCTCAGGGAGAGCAGGGAAAGGCACTCTTCACCCCTGACACATACTGGTTGGCATAGTTTCATCTTTAAGCTGTAATTTTAAACCAGCTGCAGATAATCCACCGACTGAACAATTACCCATGTAAAATACTTAGGTTGCTATGGGATTTGACAAGAACTACAAAGCCCACCTCCCAACTTCTCCCCAGATACTTCCTCCTCCACTAAAATGATGCATATGAGAAAGAGAGGGATACAGTACATTCTAGAAATTGTAAAATCATGCTATAAACCTTTAGGCTGAGAAGATTTGTGGTTGTTGATTTGATTTGATAAAACTGGAAGAGAAAAAGGAAGGAAGGAAAGAGAAGGGAAGGGAAGGGAAAAAAAGGGAGGGAGGGAGGACAAGACAGGAAGATGGAAAAGGCACAGTTTTGGAATAAAAGGATCTAAAAACATTTCCCAAAAGGAAATGTTTTAAATTATAAGAGAAAGCACTTGTTTTGTTTTCACAGACTCAAAATAGTTCACTACAGGGACATTTTTGCCTCCACTGCAAAGGAACTATTGAAGACTTTAAAAACTAAAGGTAGTAAGTATTTAAGATGAGCTTCCTCAAAAAGCAAGCACATGGGGCATGAAGGACAAGTTGACAATGCCCTAGAGGTACTCTCAGTCTTTAAAGGACTCCACAGTAACAGACGTGGAGCAGAACAATTGAAAGTATAATGAAGTGTGTGGTTTTTTTTAATAGAGACTGGCGCTCAAGAAGCCTGAGAAAGACACACATGCCCGGGAAAGGCAGACGGAGGGAAGCAGCAAACTTAAATTGAGCCCACATCGAATGGTCTTCATTTAATTTTTTTAAAGAGGGCAATGTTAGTCCAGTATTCAACCCTCTTCCTCTCAAACATGTTGATTTACAGCTACTCAAACAACAGATCAAGACTGTTCGTTCTCTCACTGACACACGTGGAGCCACCAAATATATACAGAATAATATTTGACCCTACTCCTATGAACCCACATACAGAGCAAAGACAAAATATATAGCGCTATCAAATTAACCAAGTGATCAGATCAGCGTTTCTTTCCCTTAATCTTGCTTTCTATGAGAGATCCTTTTATATCAACTTAACTAGTACTGTATGTATTATGTTCGTTCCATAAAATACAATGAAACATATGTTGATGATAGGATGTGAGAAGAGAGGGACAGAAGTATAGCACTTGGCAAGAGGAGAAGAGGAATCTGAAATTTTATCAGTACTGGTGTCCTAGTGGTATTTTGCAGAGCAATGAAT